TCTGAAAGGCGACGAAAAGTGTACATAGCATTACTGAGGGGGAGAGCTCAAAGACACACGCACACACACTCGCGCACACACACACGCAGGCGCGCGCGCACACACACACACACACACGCACACACAGGAGTTGGTGGCCGAGCGGAAGGAGCCAGTGGCCAAGCAGACAGCACGCTGGACACGTGATCCTACGATGGGCAGAGTTTCTTTCACCCTATGCCCCTGTTACCTAGCAGTAAATAGGTACCTGGGAGTTAGTCAGCTGTCACGGGCTGCTTCCTGGGGGGGGGGGGGGGAATGTTGGGAAAAAAATAGTAGTAGAAACAGTTGATTGACAGTTGAAAGGTGGGCCGAAAGAGCAGAGCTCAACCCCCTCAAGCACAACTAGGTGAACTAGGTGAATACACACACACACACACACACACACACACACACACACACACACACACACACACACACACACACCTAATCTAACTCCTGAGGCACATATAAATAGGATAACGACAGCAGCGTACTCTACACTGGCGAAAATTAGAACTTCATTCAGAAACCTAAATGAGGAAGCTTTTAGGGCGCTTTACACTGCCTACGTGAGACCCGTCTTAGAGTATGCCGCGACATCATGGAGCCCCCACCTGAAGAAACACATAAAGAAACTGGAGAAGGTTCAGAGGTTTGCGACGAGGCTTGTCCCAGAGCTACGAGGGATGGGATATGAAGAGCGGCTGAAGGAACTGAACCTTACGACACTGAGAAAAGAAGGGAGAGAGGAGATATGATAGGGACATATAAAATACTCAGGGGAATTGACAAAGTGGAAATAGATGAAATGTTCACACGTAATAATAACAGAACGAGGGGACATGGGTGGAAACTGGAAACTCAGATGAGTCACAGAGATGTTAGGAAGTTTACTTTTAGCGTGAGAGTAGTAGAAAAACGGAATGCACTTGGGGAACAGGTTGTGGAAGCAAATACTATTCATACTTTTAAAACTAGGTATGATAGGGAAATGGGACAGGAGTCATTGCTGTAAACAACCGATAGCTAGAAAGGCGGGATCCAAGAGTCAATGCTCGATCCTGCAAGCACATATAGGTGAGTATATAGGTGAGTACACACACACACACACACACACACACACACACACACACACACACACACACACACACACACACACACACACACACAAACACACACACGCTCACAACTACTTTATTTGTGTTTCATAGCGTTCGAAATGTTCATTTTCATTAAAAGTTCTTTTTTAATCCACAATAGCCTTGTTTCGTATTAAAAACAATATCTCGTTTGTTTGCAGGTTTCTTTGTAGCCAAACAAAACTTACGAGTTTACACTAAAATCAGTGAATGGATATATGAACCTCAATACCAAAAATCTCTTTTTCTGACTATGAATTATTGTGAAGAAAACAATGATTCAAATCAGTGCGCTCACCGCAATCATTATACTTAGCGTCAACATAATCACCATTCGCATTACGATTATGATGATTAAATTATTATAATTTTCATCTTCACTCTCAGTATGATCATTGTAATAATCCTAATTACCAGTGTAATCTTTGTAATCACACTAATTTTCAATATAATCATTGTATTCACATTTATTATCAGTATGACTTTTGTAATCATCATAATTATCTTTGTAATCATCCTGGTTATCATTGTAATCATTCTAATTGTAATTGTAATCATCATAATTATCAGTATAATCATTGCAATCATCCTAATTATCAGTATAATCATTGCAATAATCCTAATTATCAGAATAATTATAGTAATCACACTCGTAATACTAAAAACAATAACCTTTATCATCATAATCCTTATTATTTTCAGCAGTATTACTATAACCAATAAATTTATTATAATCACCAATATAAGAAGCATCTCTAGGACATCACACATCACCATCACCTTGAACATCAACATCACCCTGAACATCAACATCACCCTGTACATCAGCATCACCCTGAACATCAACATCACCCTGAACATCAACATCACCCTGTACATCAACATCACCCTGAACATCAACATCACCCTGAACATCAAAATCACCCTGAACATCAACTTCACCCTGAACATCAACATCACCCTGAACATCAACATCACCCTGAACATCAACCTCACCTTGAACATCAACATCACCCTGTACATCAACATCACCCTGAACATCACCATCACCCTGAACTTCAACATCACAGTGAACATCAACATCACCCTGTACATCAACATCACCCTGAACATCACCATCACCCTGTACATCAACATCCCCCTGAATATCACAATTACCATGCACATCAACATCACCCTGAACATCACCATCACCCTGTACATCAACATCACCCTGAACATCCCCATCACCCTGAACATCACCATCACCCTGTACATCGACATCATCCTGAACATCAACATCACCCTGAACATCACCATCAACTTGGACTTCATCATCACAATGAACATAAGCATCACCCAGTACATCAACTTCACCCTGAACATCAACTTCACTCTGAACATCAACATCACCCTGTACATCAACATCACCCAGTACATCAACATCACCCTGAACATCACCATCACCCTGAACTTCAACATCACAGTGAACATCACTATCTCCTTATACATCAACATCACCCTGAACATCAACTTCACCCTGTTCATCAACATCACCCTGAACATCACTATCACCCTGTACATCAACATCACCCTAAACATCAACATCACCCTGTACATCAATATCACCCTTAACATCACCATCACCCAAAACACCGTATTGAAGATGATGATGCCTCTAGTCATCTTCAATCCGGTGCCCCCAGGAACCACATGAGACAAGCCCATGACATCACCCTAACAAGAGAAATGTTGAACAAAAATACCTGTATAATAGACAAAACCCAAGATGCAAGAAGATTACAAATTCTTGAAGCAATTCACATAATAATAGAACAACCTACCATGAACACCCAAATACCGGAACTATTTACTCTACCCACCATGAGAGTAAGGACAAGACCAGAACATAACGATGTCAACACAAAAGACAATGTTCAACATAACAGGCCAATTACACCTGATTAATCTTTGTATGTAGTGGGATTGGTTGGTTATAGATAGGAGCTGCCTCGTATGGGCCAATAGGCCTTCTGCAGTCACCTTTATTCTTATGTTCTTATGTGCTTCGTCCCCCATTTATCCCCTATGTATCCCCCTTGTTTTTACCTTTATTGTACTTGTCTTATCATCTGACCCCGTACGGGTATAAATCAACGAGTTTTGTAATTTCCTTTCACTTGAGAATGAACCATGGAGGATCGAAATGAACTATGGAGTTTACTTCCTGAACCCATCATGTGCCTCTGTAACCCTTTCCACCACCGCCCACTGGATGGCTACGGGCTGCATAATAAAGAAATGAAATCTTACATTCGAGAACATCTCACGTGTTTATTGTTGCCTTGCAACACCCTACTGATGCTACTGACACGCTTATCATTGGGGATGTAAACCCACACAAGGGGTGTAAACCCACACAAGGGGTGTAAACCTACACTAGGAGTGTAAACCCACACTAGGAGTGTAAACCCACACTATGGGTGTAAACCCACTCTAGGGGTGTAAACCCACACTAGGGGTGTAAACCCACACTAGGGGTGTAAACCCACACTAGGGGTGTAAACCCACACTAGGGGTGTATACCCACACTAGGGGTGTAAACTCACACTAGGGGTGTAAACTCACACTAAGGGTGCCTGTCTCACCAAACCAACGTTAAGCATACCTGGTTCTCTACGCATCTCTCCTAGCTTACTAGCCCATGTACTGGTACGCCTAGTACGCCAGTTCTGCCGTGTCATCTATCTTACCTCCTAGGATATCGGTTCAACTGTTTCCTAGTAAAAACTTTAAGATATCTGTTCCACTGTTCCCCAGTCCACATTCTGGTATATCCGAAAGGGAGCGAAACCAAGACATACAAATTTGACAGCGAGGCCTTTTAAAAAGTCATTTAGAGTCGCATTTTTGCTTTTTGGTGGGGCAATTCTGGCTTCTTCAGACGTGCCCATGTACCCTCTGATTTAATTATAAGCCAAGAAAGAGGTCGTTTGCACAAAACCGGATGAGAGGATGGATTCAAAGAAGCCTACATGAGATTTGGGTAATTTAGCTGGCTTTGAATGCCTGCCTTAGGAGGAGCCAAAGGACAAACTTGTCAAATGTCGGAAGATTTTGTCTTGCCTGGCTATTTTCTGTCTTTATTTTTTAACAAGAAAATATTTTCACGGTTTGATATGCATGTCCTTATTGTGTAAGAGATATATTTTATGAGAAATAGGAAAAATGGAAAACTCATGCATGGGCACACGTGCACCCCCTTTACCACATGGTTATTGGGTGTTACTAAACAAGTGGGCCCTGATATGTGTGTGCATATATATATATATATATATATATATATATATATATATATATATATATATATATATATATATATATATATATATATATATATATATATATATATATACATATACTGCTCAAAGTACCCATTCTCTTCATATGACAAACGTCACATTTTAAATGATTTTGCCTAGCAATATGTGGTGGTAGATTAACCTACAAGATTAATCTTCCAGATTAACCTATAAGATTAATCTTCAAGGTTACCCTTCGAGATTAATCTACAAGGTTAACCTACAAGGTTAACCTACAAAGTTAACCTACAAGGTTAACCTACGAGATTAACCTACTAGAATAACCAACCGGATTAACCTACGTAATCTATCAATACCGTTGCTCATTGGTCATAAAATGCATGCAAATTGAGTCGCCAATTAGCACACTGAAACACCTCAGTCGTGGTGCTGTTATCAACAACAGCTTTCATATAGAGGTACATAAAATATGAGGACAAGTTGCACAATTGCAAGGCCAATAGCTAACACATGAGTGCACAGAATTGCAAACACAAAAATGGCTCGATTCGTGCTTTGCAAATGCATTAATCATGTTCAGATTACTATTCCCAACACGGAATACTTGGTAAAGACTTCGTGTTTGCTCTTTAAATATTGAGGTAACAGACAAAGATTAAAGAACATATAGCGATTGAAAAAAATCATGTTAATCCATATTAAAATTACATATTAAAAAATTATAAACATATTATAAACATATAAAAATTAAATTACATATTAGATTACATATTAAAATTCCCATATCATTTGATATCTCCCTGGGATATCAAATGATATTCATTCATGGTAAGTGAATTTGATTCCTGAACACGGATGACTTAATACTGATGAGGTCATAACCCGTGATGATAGCATCCTCAGTAATACATAGCGCAGTGTACAGTGCTGTTAGTACAGTGTACTGTGGTGTTCTTACAGCGTACTGGGGTGTTCTTACAGTGTACTGATGTGTTCTTACAGTGTACTGGGGTGTTCTTGCACAGGATAATGGGATGTTCTTACAGTGTACTGGGGTGTTCTTGCACAGGATAATGGGATGTTCTTACAGAGAGATCTGGGGGTGTTCTTACACAGTGTACTGGGGTGTTCTTACTTAGTGTACTGGGGTGTTCTTACTCAGTGTACTGGGGTGTTCTTACACAGTGTACTGGTGTGTTCTTACACAGTGTACTGGGGTGTTCTTACACAGTGTACTGGTGTGTTCTTACACAGTGTACTGGTGTGTTCTTACACAGTGTACTAGGGTGTTCTTACACAGTGTACTGGTGTGTTCTTACACAGTGTACTGGTGTGTTCTTACACAGTGTACTAGGGTGTTCTTACACAGTGTACTGGTGTGTTCTTACACAGTGTACTGGTGCGTTCTTACACAGTGTACTGGTGTGTTCTTACACAGTGTACTGGTGTGTTCTTACACAGTGTACTGGTGTGTTCTTACACAGTGTACTGGGGTGTTCTTACACAGTGTACTGGTGTGTTCTTACAGTGTACTGGTGTGTTCTTACACAGTGTACTGGTGTGTTCTTACACAGTGTACTGGTGTGTTCTTACACAGTGTACTGGTGTGTTCTTACACACTGTACTGGTGTGTTCTTACACAGTGTACTGGTGTGTTCTTACACACTGTACTGGTGTGTTCTTACAGTGTACTGGTGTGTTCTTACACAGTGTACTGGTGTGTTCTTACACAGTGTACTGGTGTGTTCTTACACAGTGTACTGGTGTGTTCTTACACAGTGTACTGGTGTGTTCTTACACAGTGTACTGGTGTGTTCTTACACAGTGTACTGGTGTGTTCTTACACAGTGTACTGGTGTGTTCTTACACAGTGTACTGGTGTGTTCTTACACACTGTACTGGTGTGTTCTTACACAGTGTACTGGTGTGTTCTTACAGTGTACTGGTGTGTTCTTACACAGTGTACTGGTGTGTTCTTACACAGTGTACTGGTGTGTTCTTACACAGTGTACTGGTGTGTTCTTACACAGTGTACTGGTGTGTTCTTACACAGTGTACTGGGGTGTTCTTACACAGTGTACTGGTGTGTTCTTACAGTGTACTGGTGTGTTCTTACACAGTGTACTGGTGTGTTCTTACAGTGTACTGGTGTGTTCTTACACACTGTACTGGTGTGTTCTTACAGTGTACTGGGGTGTTCTTACACAGTGTACTGGGGTGTTCTTACACAGTGTACTGGTGTGTTCTTACACAGTGTACTGGGGTGTTCTTACTTAGTGTACTGGGGTGTTCTTACACAGTGTACTGGGGTGTTCTTACTTAGTGTACTGGGGTGTTCTTACTTAGTGTACTGGGGTGTTCTTACACAGTGTACTGGGGTGTTCTTACTTAGTGTACTGGTGTGTTCTTACACAGTGTACTGGTGTGTTCTTACACAGTGTACTGGTGTGTTCTTACACAGTGTACTGGTGTGTTCTTCTTGTACTGGTGTGTACAAGAACTGAACACCAGTTCAAGAACTGAACTGGTGTGTACAAGAACAAGAAGGTGTTCTTGTACTGGTGTGTTCTTGTACTGGTTCTGGACAAAGGGGGGGGGGGCATAAATGGAACCTGTACTTGCAACTGAGAAAAAGAAACCTACGTAAATACTTGTACCCTATGTAATTGGTCAACAAACGGAATGCACTGAAAAATAGAAGTTGTAGAATCCACCTTCACCCCATACTCAAAAGTCAGGAAAAGTAATAAACTTAGTAATAAACTTAGTAATAAAATAAGTACTAAATAATAAATAATAAATAATAAATAAATACTAAATAAACAAAATAAGTGCTAAATAATAAAAGTAATAAAGAGTACTAAAGGATAGAAGGTAAAGCACAAAATTCTCACCATCGACCAATCTCCTACTACTTCCCCCCCCCCCCCTTTCTCTCTCCTACCCCCCCCCCCCCCCTCTCTCACAACAACTCTCTCTACAAATACCACCCTCCAAAACCTTCCAAAATTGTGTTTCACTTCGCCTTGCGCCTCTCC